ATGCGGTGCCCAGATTCGGACATCGGTGTTGCACGCTATCTTTTAAACGCCAACCGTAGGGGGGGAGGGTGTCGGTGGAGGAGGTGGATGAGGAGGAGGAGGAGACGCTTAGGGGGAGGAGGAGGGGGAGGAGGAGGAGGAGGAGGAGGAGGAGGAGGAGGAGGAGACGGACGAGTGACGATGATGCTGATGATGATGCTGATGCTGATGCTGATACTGATGCTGATGCTGCTGATGGTGATGGTGATGACGAAGACGACGATGATGAAGATTATGCTGATGATGATGGTGATGGTGATGTTGATGGTGCTGATGATGCTGACAATAATGATGCTGATGATGCTGATGCTGATGATGATGATAATCACGATGCTGATGACGACGATGCTGGTTATAACGATGATGAGGTTGATGCTAATGATGCTGATGATGCCGACGCTGATGCTATAGCTGATGCTGATTACGATGATGATGCTGATGCTGATGATGCTGATGATGATGATGATGATGATGATGATGATGATGATGATGATGATGATGATGATGATGATGATAGTGATGAGGAGGAGGACGATGACGAGGCTGATTCAGCTGATACTGCTGCTGTAGATGGTGATCAGGCTGCTGATGATGAGGGTGATGCTGATGATGCTGCTGCTCATGATGATGATGCTGATGATGGCGGTGGTGGTGGTGGTGATGCTGATGATGATGATGATGATGATGATGATGAGGAGGAGGAGGAGGAGGAGGAGGAGGAGGAGGAGGAGGAGGCGGAGAGGAGGATGATGAGGAGGGTGAGGATGATGAGGAGGAGGATGAGGAGGATGATTATGAGGGGGGGGGACAACATGAGACGAATGATCACCAGGACGCGGAGAAGCAGGAGTACGAGGAGGAGGAGGAGGAGGAGGAGGAGAAGGATGAGAACGAGCAGGAGGAGGAGGAGGATCAGAAGGGTGATGGTGGAGGATGTGGAGGATGTGGAGGGTGAGGGTGAGGGTGAGGGTGAGGGTGAGGCTCAGGATGAGGAAAGGGTGATTCTGATGATGATCTTGATGATGAAACTCATGATGTTGATGCTGTTGCTGATGTTGCCGATGGTGGTGCCGATGATGATGATGATGATGATGATGATGATGATGATGATGATGATGATGATGATGTTGAGGATCTCGAAGACGATGCCGATGACGATGCAGATGACGATGACGATGATGTTGCTGCTGATGATGATGCTGATTCTGCTGATGCTGATGATGCTTCTGACCATGATGATGCGGATTATGATGATGCTGCTGATGATGATGTTGACGATGAACATGTCGATGACGATGATGTTGATGCTGATGCTGTTGATGATGATGGTGCTACTGCTGATGATGATGCTGATCATGATGATGATGATGATGATGATGATGATGATGATGATGATGATGATGATGATGATGATGATGATGATGATACGGATGATGATGCTGATGATGATGATGATGATGCTGATGATGATGATGATGCCGCTGAGGATGATGCTGCTGCAGATGATGATGATGATGCTGATGATGATGATGATGATGATTATGTTGATGATGATGACGATCACGATGATGATGCCGACGGCGCTGCTTAGCATGAGGTTGACGATAATGCTGTTCTTTCTGATGCTCATGATGCTGCTGGTGATGACGATGATGGTGATTATGATACGGATACTGATGTTGTTGACGATGATGCTGATTACGTTGATGATGATGGTGATGATGATGATGCCGATGACGATACTGTGTATTACGAGGCTTGTCATGATGATGCTGTTGCCGATGCTGCTGATGCTGATAATGACGCTGATGATGCTGGCGGCGCTGCTTATGATGCGGTTGACGATCATGCTGTTCATTATGATACTGATGATGCTGATGGTGATGATGATGGTGATTCTGCTGATGGTGATGATGATGCTGCTGATGTTGATGGTGCCGCTGATGATGACGATGCTGATGATGATGGTGATGATGGCGATGGTGATTCTTATGCTGTTGACCATGGCGCGATGATTAGGATGACGACGATCATGCTGATACCGATATTGATGATGCTGATGCTGACGATGACGAGGACGATGAGACTGATGATGGTGATGCTTATGATGGTGGTGAGGATGATGATGACGCTGCTGATGATAATGCTGCTGATGACGATGCTGATACTGATGATGCTGATGATGATGACGTTGTTGCTGTTGATGCTAATTATGGTGCTGATGTTGTTGATACTGGTGATGCTGCGGATGACGACGGCTGTGTTTATGATGCCGATGCTGATGATGATGACGATGCTGATGAGGATGCTGATAGTGATGCTGATGATGGTGATGCTGATGCTGACGATGATGATGAGGATGATGATGCTGATGATGACGATGCGGATGTGATGCTGGTGATGAGGCCAATCATGTTGATGACGCTGCTGCTGATGTTGATGCTGGTGATGATGATGATGATGCTCCTGATTATGATACTGATGGTCCTGACGATTACGATGACGATGATGATGATGATGATGATGATGATGATGCTGATGCTGATGATGATGCTGATGGTGCTGATGATTATGCTGATGCTGCTGCTGCTGATGATGCAGATGATGCTGATTATGATGATCCTAATTATGACGATGATGCTGATGCTGACGATGATGCTAATGAGGATGCCGAGGATGATGTTGCTGCTGATGCTGATGATGATTGTGACGCTGATGATGTTGGTGATGATGCTGATCATGATGATGCTGATGAAGATGCTGATCATGATGCTGATGATGCTGATGATGACGATGCTTATGATGCTGATGATGATGCTGATGTTGATGCTGATGCTGTTGTCGGTGTTGATGGTGATGCTGCTGCTGATGATGATGCTGATTTCGAGTATGATGGTGGTGGTGGTGGTGGCGGTGCTGATGATGGTGATGGTGAAACTGGAGGAGGAGAAGGAGCAGGAGGAGGAGGAGGAGGAGAAGGAGGGGGAGGAGAAAGAGGAGGAGGAGGAGGAATAATGATAATAACAGGAAGGGGGAATGATACGGATACTAGTAATAACAATCAGAATAGTCAGAAGACGAGCAAACGAATACTGATACTGATAACAGTTGTACGAATAAACATAACAATAATATTACTAATGATTAAAAGACTAAGAGTAAGACTGATCATACTACGAATAAAGAAAATAAGCACAATTATGACATCAAAAACAACAATAATACTACGGATCGTACTACTAAGACGACGGCTTAACATAATGATAATAAGGCGACTACACATTACCAATACGAATCATTCGATCAGTACTAATACAATGTACACTATCATTACGACTGTAATACTGCTAATGGGAACACATCGAAACATTATTTTAATATATGTAACACGATCGAAAACAAGCACTAAGCAGCAGAGAAATAAGGGGAGGAGGCGGAGGAACAGGAAGAGATGAGGAATAATAGGGGACGGAGGAGGAAGAAGAGGAGGCGGAGGAGGAGGAGGAGGAGGAGAAAAAGGACAAAGAGGTGAGGATGATGATGATGATGATGAGGAGGAGGAGGAGGATGAGGGGCAGGGGGAGAAGGATGAGGAGGAGGTCGAGGAGAGGGGGAGGAGGAGGAGGAGGAGGAAAGGCGAGGAGGAGGAGAGGAGGAGGAGGAGGAGGGAGGAGGAGGAGGTGGACGAGGAGGAGGAGGAGGAGGTGGAAGAGGAGGAGGAGGAGGAGGAGGAGGAGGAGGAGGAGGAGGGAGGATGAGGAGGCGGAGGCAGAGGCGGAGGCGGAGTCGGAGGTGGAGGTGGAGGCGTAGGCGGGGGAGGAAGAGGAGGATGAGGGCGATGATGAGGAAGACGACGCGGAGGAGGAGGAAGAGGACGATGATAATAATAGTCCTTCCCTTCAAGATCCTTCTTTGAAATTCCCAGAAGGAATCAATCCCACTGAGGGAATTGCCCCGTTGGGGGACAACCTTGTGAGCATCTTGGACCGTGCCAAAACACCTCTCTCAGGATTTCAACGTCTCGAGTGAACCTAACTGATACGTCTTGGCGATCTTGAATCGTGCCAGAGCACCATTCCTGGAACTTCAACACTGCGAATCGACGTAACTGTTGCGCCCTGACAATATTGACTTCTGGTACGTTAACCATGAGAACCAGTGACACTCTTGCCAACTTTTAAAACGAATGTGCGCGGCACTGAAGCGAGAGCCACATTTCGAGAAGGAACCGCCCTCAGTCCGTGAAGTTCTTACTTTTTACAACGAATGTGCACGGCGCTGATGCGAGAGCTAAGTTTTGAGAACGACCCGCCCTCAATCCGTGAATCTCTTGTAAATCTTTAAGACGAATGTGCGCGGCGCTGCGGCGAGAGCCACATTTTGAAAACCACCCGCCTTCAATCCGTGAAGCTCTTTCATATCACGAGTGTTCGCGGCGCTAAGGCGAGAGCCGCATTTCGAAAACGACTGGTCCTCTATCTGGGAACTTGTTGGCAATTTCTAAGCATCAGGGTCATACGTGGTAAGGAAGTCACAGGTGACACGCACAGCCCGCCCCTTCGACCGGCCACAGGGTGCGACGAGGATGAGAAGGAGGGGGAGGAGGAGCCGGAGGACGAGGAGAAGGAGGGGGAGGAGAACGAGGAGGAGAAGGAGGAGGGGGAGGAGGAGGAGGAGGAGGAAGGAGGAGGAGAGGAGGAGGAGGGATAAGTAGGAGGAGGAGGAGGAGGAGGAGAGGAGGAGGAGGAGGAGGAGGGAAGGAAGAGGAGGAGGAGGAGGAGGAGGAGAAGGAAAGGAGGAGGAGAGTAGGAGGAAGAGGGAGGAGGAGGGCGGAGGAGGAGGAGGCAGGAGGAGGAGGAGGAGGAGGAGGAGGGATCGACGACGCTGGCGGCGGCGGCGGGCTACGGCGGGCGGCGGTGGCGGCAAGGGCCGCGCGCCCTCTCCCCCTCCCCCCGAGACAGGCGCGGAGAACGGCGATGCGGGTGCGCCCCGCGATGACCCGTTGGCCTCGCGCACCGGGCCGCCCACGACGCTCAGGACTGGCGGCACTTCTTTGTGAGGGGGAGAGCCCAGGGCTCCGACGATACGTTTTTTGCAATCCCAGCGTTGTTCCTCGATTTCGGCCCCCGGGGTAAGCTGTTGGGTCCTGGGGCTATCAGAAACTCAGGCGATCGCAAACATGGATCAAGGAGGCGTGGATTACGTGAAACCCTGTGCGAACGTTACACCGATGGGGACGGCCCTTTTCAAAACGGAGGACTCGCCGCACACCTCTTTGACCAGCACGGTCATGATTTTGCGCGTTCCTCACCCCCCCTGGAGGATGCAAGGCAGTTCGTTGCTTTTCAAGCCTGGCTCCTGCCTGAATGGCAGGCGCACAGGATGCAACGCAGTCAGTTCCTTTTGAAAGTAGGGCTCTCGCCCGAACAGCAGGCCCACAGGGTACGGATGTTTCAGAGGGGCGACTCATGTTGTGGGAGGGAAATCTTGTAGGGCCTTCTGCGGAGGTGACTAGGGGCGGGAGAGTGTAGTGCTGCATCGGTGATGCCTCTCGGGTGCACTTTGGTCTTCCTCTTCCTCTTCCTCCTCCTCCTCCTCCTCCCTCCTCCTCCTCCTCCTCCTCCTCCTCTCCTCCTCCCCTTCTCCTCTTCCTCCTCTTCCTCCTCCTTCGCAATGCGGGTGCAAAGGCGGGCCTCCGCCGCAGCCCGCGCACCTCCTCCTCCTCCTCCTCCTCCTTCCCTCCTCCTCATCCTCCCTCCGCCTCCTCTCCTTCTCCTCCTCCTCCTTTTCTCCTCCCCTCCTCCTCCTCCTCCCCTTCCTCCTCCTTCATCCTCCTCCTCCCCTTCCTCCTCCTTTCCTTCCTTCCTTCTCTCCTCTCCTCTCCTCCTCCGCCTCCTCCTCCTCTCCGTCCTTCTCTCCTCCTCCTCCTCCTCCTCCTCCTCCTCCTTCTCCTCCTCCTCCCCTCCTCCTCCTCCCCCCTCCCCCTCCCCCTCCTCCCCCCACCCCTCCCCCTCCGCGCGCGCTCCCCGAGGATGCAACCTGCCCACCTCCCTGGACGCCCCCCGAGCGCGCAATTCCCAGCGCCGTCGGTCGGGTCGTCGTCCCCTCTCCTTTTTCTCTCCCTCCCCCTCTTCCTTCGCATTCCCTCCCTCCATCTCCCTCGCCATCCCCCCTCCCCTTCCCTCCCTCCCTTCCCCCCCCCTCCCGCCGTTTGGGGCCCTCCCTCCCTCCTCTCCCTCTCCCTCCTCTCTTTCTCTCCTCTCTCTCCCCTCCCTCCCGCCCTCCCTCCCCTCCCCACTCCCTCCCTCTCCCTTCCCCTCCCTCCCTCCCGCCGTGGTGGGGCCCCGTCTTGCGCGGCGGGGGCTGGCGGCGCGGCGGGCGTGCGGAACGGGCGTGGCGGTGGAGCGGCGCAGGGCCTGGGGAGGAGGAGGTCGAGGGTCGATCGGCGATCGATCGTCGATCCGCCTCCTCGCTCCCTCCCCTACCTCCCTCCCCCGCTCTCTTCCTCCCTCGATCTCCCTCCCTCCCTCCCTGCCTCCCTCCCTCCCTGCCTCCCTCCTGCTCCTCCTCCTGCTCCTCCTCCTCCTCCGCGCGCTCTCCTAGGGGAGAAGGCCGAGGGAGAAAGGGGGGGAGAGCAAGGCAGGAGCAGAAGAGACCTGGAGGAGGAGGAGGAGGAGTAGGAGGAGGAGGAGGAGGAGGAGGGAGGAAGGAGGGAGAGTGAAGGAGGAGGATGAGGAAGAGGAGGAGGAGGAAGAGGAGGCGGAGGAGGACGAGGATCTTCATGTTAGACCAACGTCAAAAAAGAGGAGACAGAGAAGGAGGGGGAGGAGGAGGAAGCGGGAGGGAGGAGGGGGGAGGGAGGGGGAGGAGGGATGACGAACAGGAACTGGCAGCCCTGCTTTCCTGCTTCTTGGTAGTCGCTCACTCTGTGCCGCCTCTCGGTCGTCGCCATCGCCCTCGCCTCCGTGCCGCGGCAGTTCTCCCAGCTGGTGCTGCGACCTTTGCGGTCGCTGCTGTCGTGCCGTCTGTGGTGCCCACGGTTCGGGTCTCCATGCGTCTTCCTCTCACGGGGTGAAGGACAAGTATGACGGGTATGACGAATCGCGATATGATGATGCGGGAGATTGTGATGATGGCGATGATGATGGTTATGGTGATGACGACGGCTTCGACAACGATGATGATGGTGATGCTGATGCTGATGCTGGTGTTGCTGATTGTGGTGTTGTTGATAATGATGCTGATGGTAATTGGTAGTTTTGTTGCTGATGATTCCCGACTGCGTTGATTGGGGTGATTCTGGCGATGATGCGTTGATGATGCTGCTGCGAGTGCTGACGATGAATGTGATTATGATTATCATTAGGATGATGGTGATGACGTTGATGCTGGTGATGCGGCCGATGCTGTTGATGCTGATGCTGCTACTTCTGACGACGATGATGATGAAACTGCTGATGATAGTGACGACGATGATAATGCTGCTGCTGCTGCTGATGATGATGATGATGATGATGATGATGATGCTGGCGACGATGATGACTATGACGATGACGATGACGATGACGATGCAGATGATCATTAAGATGATGCGGCTGCTGACGCTGATGACTGATGATGATGATGCTGATGATGATAACACAAGTGATGATGTTGCTGATGCATATGGTGGTGGTGATGGTGATGCTGATGATTACGATTATGATGGCGACGATGGGGACGACTCTGAGGCCGATGGTGATGATTATGATGATGCTGACGATGAATGAATTATGATGACATCG